TACTTTTTTCTAGGTTACTAAAAGCAGGCAATTAGCTTCCCCCATTGCGGGGGTGTATAAATCCTTCCACACTTCTCCTCGCTTTCTCGCTATCACTTTCATTTTGTAAGCATTTTGATCAACTTCCTTTCACTGGACAATCAGCGTGGACAAAACACACTCACACACATGTTTCTCTGCATCTGTGTTCTTTCTTACTGTAGGGTGTAGCTGTGAGACAGCTCAGCGGAAAGAGCTCTACTCTAAAGAGCTGAACTAGAACGCTGCGGTCTCTCTGTATCTCTCTCACTGTCTCTGTCAGTCTCTCTCTCTGTATCTCTATCTGTCTCTGTCTCTCTCTGTGTGCCTCTCTCTATGTCTCTCTCTCTGTGTCGCTCTCCATATCTGTCTCTGTGTCTTTAAGTCTCTCGGCCTCTCTCTCTGCCTCTGTCACTATAAAGAACGGAACTGGGTTGTTGTGATCTCTCTCTCTCTCTCTCTGTGTAGACTGTAAAGAGCTGAACAGGAAAGCTGTGGTCTCTCTTTCTCCATTTGTCTGACTCTCTCTCTCTCTCTCTCTCTCTCTCTCTCTATCTGTCACACATTCTCTGCCTCTCTCTCAATCTCTCTCTGCTCTCTGCCTCTCTGTCTGGAGACAGTAAAGAACTGAACAGGGATACTGCATTCTGTATTTCTGTGTGTCTCTCGCTCGTTGTTTCTATCTCTCTCTCTGTCTGTCTATGTGCTCCCCCCATACTCCCCCCCCACTGAGACTGACCACATGCCTCACTGCATTATTTAACATTTACGATTATCGCTTAATGAGTGAAACAGCAGTGTTTCTAATGACCGTGCAGCTTAGTGAAGGAACTCGTGAGTGACCTAAAGTGAAGTCAGAACCTGAGCTGGAAGAGCTGTATGTCTGTAATGGGTTTTGCCTTGAGCGTGTGGTGGACTGGAGTACAGGCTATTAATCAATCCACAACTTTCCTAAAATATCATTGGTACCACGTGACCACTCATATTCGACTCTCCTACACTAGACTCTCTCTCTCTCTCTCTCTCTCTCTCTCTCTCTCTCACACACACACACACACGGAAACCAACAGCACACACTAATCCCTTTCCATATTGTGTTCTTACTACATTATAGTTAATTTAAAACAATAATACAGAGAGAAAAATTCAATGAATCAATAATATTACGCTGTATACTAACAGCTCAGTCGTAGCGAGCAGGCGCGCGCACGCACGCACACACACACACACACACACACATTCGCAAACAGTCGGCGCTTCTCACAGCCGTTCTCTTCCACACGCCGCCGCGTCGCTTTTGATTGGCTGACAGCCTGATTGTATGCAAATTTGCAGCGAGATGCAGCCAATCGGCGCGGGGCTGCGCTGCACCCTGAGCCCAGAGCGAGAGGTGAGGCGCTGCGTGTGCGGAGCTGTCCACTCCGCTGTGGTGCTGAAGGCAGGATAACAGTGTACACTCTGACCGAGGGAACATATCTCTGCGAACGGAATACGTCCATCTGCTAACTTCGCTTACGGATTTGTGCAAGACGAGGACTTCGTGTTGAAAAAGGAAACAGAGTTCACACGCACACGCACACACATCTCGCATCAGCTGCACACTCTTTTTTTTCCTCGAGATTCCTTCCGATGACCTGTACTCGGACACCCAGGTGAGTGATTGTTTTTTATTATAAACCTTTATAAACCTGTAAAAAATGTAGGACAATTGGAGTCCAAACAGTAAGTGGAACGTACACCACTTTTTCAGCACCTCAGTCCGCTTGTTTGCCCCAAACCTAACCCTGATACATTAAACATACAGCAGCTTGAGTGACAGAAATCCAGCTGGAGCATTAAACTTAAACACCATGGACCTCACCAAGCCAAGTTTAGAAAGAGTGTTAAAAAGACAAACAGATATGTATGCAATGTGATAGACCAGAGCGAAGCCGTTTAATAAAGACGCACAGAACAACACAGGATGTTATTTTCCCCCTGTTAATCCCTGATCCTCAGTGATGTAGGGATTAAACCCTCCTGCTGGCACAGCTCCATTCTTCTTGTCAAAGGGTGGTGATTGTATTTCATTATTATTATTATTATTATTATTATTATTATTATTATTATTGCTGTTGTTATTATTAGTGGGTCATGTTGCTGCCTCGCAGCTCCAGGATTCCCAGTTCAATCCTGACTTCTGTTACTGTCTGGAGTTTCATATGTTCTCCCCTCCATGTTCTCTGGTTTCCTCCCACCTCCCCCAAAAACAGATGGTTTGGTGACTCAAAATTGCCCCTAGCTGTAAATGAGTGTGTCCATGCTGAACTGGTGTCCCATCCAGGGTGTATTCCTGCCTCGCACTCATTATTTCCGGGAAAGACCCTGGATCCACTGTAATCCTGGCCACAATAAAGCGCTTACTGAAGATGAATGAATGAATGAATGAATGAATGAATGAATGAATGGGTTATTATGTTAAGTATTATTATTACAGATCACTAAAAAGCAGAGAACAATTTCTCGTCCATGCACTTTGCCAAAGTGTTTAGACACAGTAACTCTGTACAGGATGAAAGATGAGCTTGAGGTGGATTTCTGGAAGACAGTACTTTGTCTTGGCAGGAGTTTTCTACTCTATTGGTCAGTGGAGAACAGCAATTCCCCTCCATATTGGCAGCAAGATGGATTTGCATTTACTTTAGCCATCTAGAATCTATACTTTCAATTCAGTGCAGGCTCTGAAGTCTTATATCCACTGATCTGTCTTTTCAGAGTTTCTCCCTTTGGCTCCTTATGAGATAATTTTAATGTTTGACACTTTTTTCAAATGTGCAATTTTTTAAGGATTACTACATGAAGCCCAGTGTAGTGTCTAATTCAGTTTATGCTAAGTACACAGAAAACTCACCGTGCAGTATAATTGCATTAGATAAGGCTTGTGTTTAATGTAAGTCAGCTGCTGAGTGAGATCCCAATCTCGCCTGCCTGAGAGGCTTTAAGAGACACAGATTTCCATATGAGATACACGTCACATCCACATCCGCATCCACGTTCTAATCCCTTCATTGCAGGCCCTCTATTGAAGTGAGCAGTGATGGAGGCTGAAATGAAAAGGCTCTCCAGGAAGCGAGCACACAGAAACAAATGCTCTAATGCATTCTCCCACTCGCTCGCTCTCTCTTTTTCATACACACACACACACACACAAACACACATACACTTTCTCTTTATCCTCAGGCATGCATCGACACGCACTCACACAGATGCGCACACACTTAAAACAATGATGCCTCAGACCAAAAATGATGTTGGCCATTGAAAAGCATCAGCGATGCTAACGAAACTGAAATATGAAAAGAAAAATCACGATTTAAAAACAACTGGGGTGATTGAAGTCAGCAGCATAACTGGCTGTTTTCCTTATAAGCAAAGGAATCACTCTACACAAAAGAATAACTCAACCACTAAAATAAATATCCATTTACATCAGAAGTGGTCAATAGACCACAACTGGCTTGGAGTCCATGCTTGTTCTGTGCAGTGGTGCAGAAAGAGTAACACTGGTGAAGTAGAATGATGCAAACTGAACATATAAATTGCGAATTGGAAAAAGTGAATCCACAAGGAGTTTTTATCACCAGCAACACAGAGAAGTGAATTTCAATGAGGAAGCTGGTCTAGCTTTATTAAGCTGGCCTTACCGTACAATTTTAGGCCTACTGTTGCTGTCACAGGCCAAAATCATAAATTGTAAAAGAATGCTTTGCTCATGAGTTAACTTAGAAAGCACAGTACAGCCAATTTAGTGCAATATTGACCAAAAACAGCTGGTTCTGGCAGCGTTAGAAAGTGTTAGGAATTTTTGCTTAACGTCTCAGCATGTGTCTCCTGAATGGTGCAACTGAAAATCGTTTACTCTATCATCGAGAGAGCCCAAGTTTGAATCATGTTGATGCCACAGACAACAAATTTGGCTGTGCTTTTTGGGTGGGAGGGATGACACACTCTCTCTCTCCTGCCAATCATATCCACCCAAGATGGTCATAACAAGGTATGTACTGTAGAAGAATATGGATAGTGCTTTCCTCTGAGTGTGTTACGCTGTCGTGACAGCTGGCTGCTGGGTGGAAATTGACATGCGACCAAATTGTGGAGGAAATGGGGAAAGATCCCACCCCCCCAAAAAAAATCACTGAGTGTGACCGCTGCTACAATGCTCATCTAAAAACCACCAATAGGAGGAAGGACATAAGAGTACAGGGAACAGCACAAGCTAATGGAAAGAAAACATATCCTTAAGCTCACTCTGAAGAATGTTTCTGATCGGTGTAAGCAAAGCATAGTACTTTTCTTTAATCACAGGTCTATCGTTAGAGGATATTCATTTAATAATCTGACAAGGTGAACACATGTTATTGCACAGCCTATCATACAATTCAACCAATATTTTACAGGGAACATCTTGTACAACTTCGCAAAGTAATAAACTTAAAAAAAATGCTGCAGTTACACCGTCTAAACTGACAGTGAGGTGACAAAATGGCTAGAGGTCATTTAGTATTAATGGGATGCGGTGGTTGGTGATAGGAAGTGGGAGGGACACGCAACGTGAAAACTGATCAGATCTTTTTTTGTTACAGTTTTAACCCACTATTAAATATTCTTTAGCTCCAAATATTCTGCAGTTAATAAAAAGTTATTGTTGGTGATACGTGCCAAGTTGGTGATACTTGCCATGCTTACTGTAACTGTGAAGTGTTTGGTGTATCCAAATAAAATGGTGCCAAATATAAATTTCCAGCTCATTCTGACATTAGACAACAGTGATTTACAGTTGTTGTTGTTCTTTCAGCTGCTCCCATTAGGGGTCGCCACAGCGGATCATTGGTCCACATGTTTGATTTGGCACAGGTTTTACGCCAGATGCCATTCCTGATGCATCCCCAGTTCATCCGGGCTCGGGACCAGCACTGAGAGTACACTCCCAGTGGCTGGGTTGGTTCCCTGCCCGGGAATTGAACCCAGGCAGGGAACCAACCCAGCATGGGATCCTTAGCCGCTAGACCAGCAGGGACCCAGTAAACAGTGATTTATGGTTCCGATCCAATTTATCCACAAAGGATGTTCCTTCAGAATTGTATTTTTATCTATATAATAGGCCTTTTTTGTCCTCAAATAAATGGTTTTGGATATCTTCTGTAGCTTGCAATGTAATCTTTGTTGCCATTGAACTAGCCAGGCATTAGCAGTGAAACCATGGCAACTGGGAGTAGCTGAAAATAGGAATGCCTACTACATATAGTGACCAACATGGACCTAAGTGAGCAGTGGTACCCAAAAAATATTGCTGGTTATTATTATTATTATTATTATTATTATTATTATTATTATTATTATTATTATTATTGTTATAAACATAGAAGCTACTGATGAATTTAACCTCATGCACTGATAGTATGAGTGAAAATATTTCATTGGAGTTCACATGAATAAAGTTGTAAGCAGGTTAAAAAAAAAAAACTTGCGTGTCAAACTAACGTTAGTCTTTAATCGCATTTCATAAATTCCAGTTGGTGCGAAATCTCATGAATTTGCATTCATGAGACTGTTTTGTAGAAGGAATTCCTGCAATAGCTTCAGAAAGCAAGTAGTTTAACACATCTAGGTGCCAATTATTACTCTATTAAACCTGGAGTTATAGCTTTTGGTGTGTTTTCTGAATAGTCACCAGGCTTCTGAGTAAATTGCATGAAGAATTACAGGATAGCGGGTTTATATGTACAGTATATTAGCTGCCTGTTGTGGATTTGGAAGTTAAACCATATGAGCCAATGAGTTTTGTGATTTTGCATGTTGAGAGAGAAAGTCTTTGGTTGCTGTTGTTCAACAAACTTGTTAAACAGGCCGTGTTCATTTGCATTGTTCCCTGTTTTATTTTGTGGCACTCTAACAAGAAATAAAACACTTGGCAGCATGCTGTTATAGGAAAAAAAGCAACAACAGTGTGGTGTGAAGTGGCCCGATGCAAATTGGAATTACTGATACCACCTTCAAGTTGATTATTTTCCATTTACAGCTAGTGTTTTTTTTTTAGTTCCCTGTTGTACCATAGCAGTTTTCCAGCAATTGCATTTTTATTACTTAAAGAATGCCAAGTTTCCAAGTAATGCCAAATTTCCCAATTTTGTAACCATTTATAGTTACATTTTATGTTGTGGTATGCCCACTAAACAAGTGGGCATAACACAACATAAAATTCATGCTATCATTTTTGTTATAGCAGCTGTAAACAGTTGTTTCCTCACCAGCCTCTCTTTTTTTCTCTCCATGTCATGTTACTGAGAAATCGTAGGGCACAGAGTCTTTCCTGTTTTGGAAAATCTGTTACAAAGCACTGACACTGAAGTGAAGTGACGTGTAGCCAAGTATGGTGACCCATACTCGGAATTTGTGCTCAGCATTTAACCCATCCAAGTGCATACACACAGTAGTGAACACACACCCGGAGCAGTGGGCAGCCTTTTTTTTGCTGCGGCGCTCAGGGAGCAGTTGGGGGTTTGGTGCCTTGCTTAAGGGTCTCACCTCAGTCATGGTATTGACGGTGGAAAAGAGCGCTGGTCATTCAATTTTAAATAAGCATCTATTTACAGAAGATTTCATCATATTGATAATTATCGACACCTGCAATCCCTGCCGGACCCGTGACTCAAACCCATGACCTTCAAGTTCACCTTCGGGTTACAAGTCTGACTCTCTAACCATTAGGCCACGACTGCCCCCGGGTGTGGAGACTCCTTCCATAAATTTTAAATAAGCATCTATTTACAGAAGATTTCATCATATCAATAATTATAGGTTTTTATTAGTTAAATAACAACACATTTTTATTTTAACCTGTGAGTTGCCTTGAAGCAGGGGGCACGGAGGCTTAGTGGTTAGAACTGTTGCCTTGCACCTCCAGGGGTGGGAGTTCAAATCCTGCCTCTGCCGTGTGTGCATGGAGTTTGCATGTTCTCCCTGTGCCTTGGGGGTTTACTCCAAAGACATGCATTGTAGTCTGATTGGCATTTCCAAATTATCTGTAGTGTGTATAAGCAGTTGTGCCCTGGAATGGGTTGGCATTCATTCCAGGGTGTCCCCCGCCTTGTGCCCCGTGTCCCCTGGGATAGGCTCCAGGCTCCCCCACGACCCTGTGTAGGATAAGCTGTACAGGGAATGGATGGACAGATGGATTTGCCTTGTAGCTGCAACTACTCTCACAGCTCCTGTTATAGAAAATGAAACCTTCTGAACAATCAGATTTGAGAATTCAGCAAGGCTGTGGTATAACATTCATGAATATATCATAGGTTTCTAAACAGCAGTGGTCACACATAGACATAAAGTTCACAGCTTTGAGTCCATTTATGTCACTGTCATGAGTGACTATTTTGCAGCTCATGGTCTGTTGGTTTAAGTTTTTTATGGCAGCACAGGTCATTCTGTGAAGCTCACAAATAAGTAACTGTCAACATTCAGTACCACAAGCAGGGTAGTCCTGGACATAGACAATATAGGTCCCTACCTGCTATCTGACTATATATTTTGACAGTTTTTGGACAAATATTATATTTACATGTATTTATAGTGGTAAATAGGTGTGCATGAATGGATGGTGTATTTATTATTGATGATAATGGACAATGATTTCAATCACACATTGCCCTGCATCATGTCAGTGTACATATCAGTTGTTCGACAACATTTTAAATTCTGTTGAAATACGAATGACCCCTTTTCAGTGAATGATTTTTAGAAATGTAGCTATTTGACAGATATAAGCTAATGTTCCATTGATTTGCTCACCGTTCTAGGTGTTGTGCAATTGTAGGGCAGTGTGCTCACTTCCTCATTTAGCTCAGTAGAGTTATTATTGCACCTAGTGGTCAAACTGCAACAAATGCTAATAGAGGCCCATTGGGGTAGGTATCATGCTGCCCCTTTCTCACTCTAAGAACATTTTCAGTGCAGGAGTAGGAGGAATGGACAAGATGGTTAATGAGAGGGAGTGGGGATTGGCACCACTGGTGAAAGTGTCGTGTGGCCAAGCCGACCCATGTACTTTAAGGTGTGCAGAAAAGTACCTACTCCAGAGTAGGAACTACACAGGCTCCTATAGCTCAGGAACTAAAATCAGCTCAGGTTCTTCCGGTGAAAATGTTCTTGAAAAAGTTCTATAATGGAAATGCCCCTGTGATGATGGTGTCAGTGTAGAACTTGCAACATTCTTTGGTTGTTGGTTGAGTTTCTCTCCCCATCTCTCTCCATCTGTCTCTCCTTCTCTTTTAGTACTGAAGATGTGTCTGTCACTGCAGCGCGAACACATCCTTGCCAAGTAGTCCAGTCATCCATTGCATTTTAATGGGCACAGGTTGCAGCTGGCTGCATGTCATAGCACCCATCCTGCACCACAGCACACACAGCTTTGGACACTCTTACATCTGTTGCATAACACAGCAGCTAAGATTTCCTCTTTAATCAACCATTAAAGGGAAAATCCACCCTGAAAATCCACCCATGGCATCCATGATTCATTTTGTAATAAAATTCTGAGTTGACTTTTTTAGTTTCCCACATTATCCACAATGCCGTTGTGCTGACAGTGGCCCCAGTAGGATTTAGCTCTCACTTCACCTCTACATAAAGAGAGCGATGCAGCGGCACTTTAGTATTTTAGTCCTTCTCTCTCACCTCCCTTTCTGTCCAGCTCTCTCACCTCCTCATCTGTACACTCTGCTCATACTTCCCAAGCTTCAATTTTCATTCCAATACTTCCGTCAACAACATCACGCTCGTCATCTCATAGATCGCTACATTGAGGCGCGTTGATTCCTTCTACATTGAGGATTCTACATTCTACATTCTGTAATCCATAAATCAGTCTAATTAATGCTTTGGGCTGCCATGGAAGCTCTGATTATATTACTATTCTATTGTATAATATTTCTTGTCTGTTTTCCTCTGAAATGTGACTATCTGACAAGAATGTCACCGGGATTAAAGCTTTCGCTTGTCTCGGAGAGAGAGCAGATGCAGAGGAGTTCTGTCACTCTGCCACCAGGTATTGCATGTATATTTCATAGCAGCTGGTATTTTTTCTGTTTTTTTTTTAGTGCTAGATCTGGAGCGGCAGAGCAGAGAATGATCAAAGCCATCAAAGTCTGGAGAGGTTAAAAAATGAGCTTCGGCACTGCTGAAGTGATTAGCCGACCTCTAATGTCTGTCCTGTCTCACTCTTTGATTGCGAATGAAACAATTTCAGCAGCTTTAGCAATTTGATCACGTGACTTATATGACCTAGCATAGAGGCATATAAATGATATAATTTGTGCACAGTGCAGTCTATGTAGTAGTTGATTGGGGATAAATATGGAATAAAATTCAAGGTCAGACAAAATACGTCACCTTGAGAGAGCTGAGACTTATTACTCATAATGCTCCAGTCCCTGTTGTCTTTTTATCTCATCCACATTCCAAAAGCGCAAGGAGTTCATTAGTTTGGAGTTTGGCGGAATCCTTAGACCCAAAGGAACACCTCTTTTTGTTGCTCTCGTTGATCGTTGTGTATTACCCAGCGTGCCAGAGCAGACGTGATGAGTGGGACTGAGCTGTGAGCCGTTGATTTGGGCGAATACCTCTGGGATTTGCGTAAACACTGAGGGAGAGATGTTTTCTCCTTGAGCCGGGGTTTGATTTGGCTGTGTTCCGATTCCAGAGAGACTCGACTCCTTTTATTGCAAAAACATTGCAGCGTGAAGTCACGCTCTGTTTAACAATAATACCACGTCTGTTCTGTGTTCCCTTTCTGCCTGAATCGCTTCACTTCAGAAATTCATTTAAATGCAGTTTGTGTTCTTGACTTGGATGAGAAATTCACTCCTTTAATAAGTGAATCATCTTGGAGCTGGATTAGCATGTTGAACATGTAACTTTGATGGAGTTGACATTGTGTAGCCGATGGAAGACGTTGGACAAGAGAAAAGGATTTTTTTGTGGAATAAAACATGCAGGATGCTTCAGGAGGAAATCCGGATG